CTTTGATTTAAGGTCTAATCGCCTTGAGTTAAAGATCCAAGTTCTTTTTTTGATATATATATATATATATATTATGGATATGCACGGTGCACCTAGTTTATGTTATACCATCAATATTGCTCCTAGATTAGATAGTTTCCCTTATGCCCAATGGTGTGTTAAATTCAAACTTTTTGTTCGATCTAGACATTTTGATTTGTGGGAAATTATAGACGATGCTTACATTGTGCTCACTTCGGAGAAATCCAAGTGGAGCAAACATGATCATAAAATATTTACAATGAACAAGTTTTTGTTAGAATTTTTGCTTAATGCTTTTGACTTATCCTTTTCTAACAAATTTGTTCATTTTGATAGTGTTTACAAACTTTAGAAATTTTTTGAAGCACATCAAGGGGATTTGGAGGCAATCTGACAAGCTTTGGAGGATTCTTCTTTAAATTCATGTGGAGCATCATGCACACGGCCACAAGAGGATAACTCTTGTGTAGTAAGCGATTCCGATTCCGATAATGATTTATCTATTGATGAACTCGCTTGTTCATATGAAAGATTAATGCATGCCTACACCAAGTTGCAAAATAATTTTATAGATCTTAAAAGCAAGCATGTAGATTTAAAATCCGATCATGAGAAGCTAGTATCCAAGTTTGATATCATTGTTAAAGAAAATGAATATCTTAAAGAAAACAATGATATGTTAACTTTGGAAAATAAAAAAGTAACCTCATCCATTTCTAGCTTATCTCATGCTAAGAATAATGTCATATTAGAAGTAGAGAACATTAGAAATGAGTTTGACTCTTTTAAAGATAATAATACATGTTCTACTTCTAGTTCCAATGCATTTGTGCCTAATGATGAGTTGAATAGTGTTAAAAATCGCATTTCATCTTTAGATTCAACTCTTAAAACATGCATTGTTAAAAATGATAAGCTTATGAACTTGTGTGCAAAGTCCCGTGTTAACACTTATAAATCAAACACTCACTATGCACACTTGTATAGCAAAATTTACAAATGCTCAATTTACGATCGTAAAAGGCCACTTAGCTAAATTTTGCCATGATGCACACAAATCTTCTTAGACTAATGCCTTTTGTGCATCTCATAAGGCTTTTTCATCACATGCACATATACATGCACAAACTCATCATGTTCATCATAAACATGCACGTGTGTTTAAATGTGATCTATGTGGATGATTTGGCCATTTGGCAAAGTTTTGCCTTGATTTGAAAAAGATTTCACTTTTGCCAAATAATTTTAAAAGACCACAAAAGTTGAAGTGTGATTATTGTGGTAGATTTGGTCATTTAACCAAGTTTTGTTTTGATTTGAAGAGAGTTTCTCATTTGCAAACAATTTAAAAGAAAAACCTATTTTTGCAAATGATTCCCGTGCACGCCCACTTAGTCAACACAAATCATTTAACCCTCTTCATTGCATCTATTGCAATCGGAAAGATCATGTATACAATTTTTCTTTTGACCGTGCTAGTGCACCACATGTGCCCAAGAGGGTTCATAACCCTAATGCTTTGAGCTTAAATGATAGGGGTCATGTCCCTAATTTTTTTGGCACCAATAGTGCTTGAGTGCCAAAACCATTTTGATTTTTTAAAAAAGAATTTTATCATTTTTATTTTTCATGTCTTGGTTTTGAAAATTATGTTTTAAATTTTTTTTAATATGAAAATAATTTTTCTTTGATCAATTCTTTTGTTTTCATGATTATTAGTTTTAATTTTTGTTAAGAGGTTTGTATTTATATAACCCCTCGGGTTTATTGGGTGTTTATTTTCCAAATCATGTTTACCGGGTGCTAAAATGATTATATGGGTTGGAACACGGGTTTATTGGGTGTTTATTTTCCAAATCATGTTTACCGGGTGCTAAAATGATTATATGGGTTGGAACAAGCTCAAGAGCTTGATATTGTTGCGGGTGCTAAAATGATTATATGGGTTGGAACAAGCTCAAGAGCTTGATATTGTTGCCTCTCTTAAAAATGGTGTTTTGATCTGCTGCTTTGAATTCATTATATTTCACTTATATGATGATATTTATGTGTTTGTACTTATGGATAATCTATTTGTGTCTTATAATGTATTCTATGAGTGGTTTGATCAAGTTATACAAATAAATTTTTTTGATCAAACATTATTTTTGGACTCAAATCTTGATTTATGACTTCATTTGAGTGATTTGTTTTCACTTGAAAACTTTTTTCATGGTTTTCATGTTTTCCTCATTCCTTTGTTTTTATAAATCTATTTTTATACACTATGTTTTTATAATTGTGTAATGAGACACTTCTTTCATAAATGACATATTAATATGTGTTCTCATTGTCTTGTTTGTATGTGAGTTATGTTTAGCATATCTTTCATTTATGCTTACTCATATGTTTTTGCCTTAGCTTTCATTTCATATATTCTATATGATATTTTGATAGGGGGAGCTATTCCCTATACTTGTTTTATACTCACTTATGCATATTGATAGAGAGAGCTTTTGCTCTCTTCATTCTTATTGTTTTCCTCTTTTTGATGTTGTCAAAGGGGGAGAAATATTGTGAGTATACATTTCCTTGTTTATATGCATGTGAATTATAATTTATATATTCATTTTCATTCATGCATATATATATATTTTTGTAAATTGTTTGTCATCATCATAAAGGGGGAGATTGTTGGCCTTCTTGTTTTGATGATGATTTAATAAATAATTTACATCTAATATTGTTTGTCTAGTATTTGTGTTTTGTTATTTATTGTAGACAAATAATAAGTTGGAGGATGGATGGATTGCGCCATAACGATTATATCAAATGGAGGTTGGCGGAATAGTGGTTGAAGCCTTGCTATTCAAAGTTGAAGATCCAAGTTCAAGCCTCATCTAAGTTTACCAAGTCAAGCTTATTGAAGATCAAGATCAAGCCTGGGTAACATTAGTTTAGAACTTATATTATGTGTGTTAGTACTTTAAGCTCAATCATATATACAAACACATTATATTGGTTTCCTTGTATATATATAGTTATATATATATATACAACACAAGTTTTGTTTTTATGTTGTAGCTTGTGTATGTACTTTGTGAGGATTTGTGAGAGTTGTCGGTTGACTTGATAACCGAGTGTGTATAGTTTTCGGTTAGCTAGAAAACCGAGTGTGTAGAGAAGTTCCGGTTTTCAAACCGGGTTATGTAGTGGATTCTCCCTGGGAGTGGGGAACGAAGACGTAGGACGGAAGGTACGAACTCCGTGATCATTTTCTTGTGTTTGGGTTTGGCATTGGCGCATTTATTCTTACATATTGTTATATCGCCATTGTTGCATGGTCATATTTTTTACCCTTGTTTATATTATATATCCTTGCACATATCTTGTAGCATATCATACTTGCTAGGATATATTTGTTAGTAAGTTTTAATTGGTATTTAAATTGGATTAGATTAACATAAACCTTATTCACCCCTCTCTAGGGTTCTTTCATAGCAATTTTAGGGTCTAACAGTTGGCAGGTGTGATATCGACCCACTAGCCTAATAACATCACGTTTAATGCTTGGCCAGTAGAAGGGACATTCAACTACCTCTACAGTCTTGTTATTCCCAAAATGTCCTGCAAGGGCTCCAGCGTGTAGTTCCCAAATCAAAAATTCTCTTAGAGAGGTGTTGGGAATACACGACTTGTTAAAATGGAAAATATATCCATCCTTTAGGAGAAAACCATCTATTTCATGGGTCACTCCATCACTCAGCAAAGTGTAAACTTCGCTAAAATTAAAGCACGACTCATACTGCTCTTTGACTTTCTCAAGCCGATTACTTCCGCACTCATAATGGAAAGAAGGTGCATACGGCGACTGAGTGCGTCGGCGGCCTTATTCTCTACTCTCGCTTTATGTTTAATCGTGTAGGTGTAATCCTGAAGGAACTCAACCCAATGACCATGTTTGATATTTAGCTTCTTTTGGGAGTAAATATATCGAAGGGCCTCGTGGTCAGAATATATAACGAATTCTTACGATAGCAAATAGTGACGCCAATGTCGAAGAGATTGTATCACCGCATAAAATTCTTTATCATAGGTAGAATAGCGTTGCATAGTATCATTCAACTTTTTACTAAAGTAGGCAACGTGATGTCCTTCTTGAGATAGGACTCCACATATACCAGTACCAGACGCATCGTACACAACTTCAAAAACCTTAAAAAAATCGGGTAGGCGCATAACAGGTACTTGCGATATTCTCTGCTTGATCTCCACAAATGCCTTGGTAGCAGCTTTTGACCATTTAAACTCACCTTTTAAGCAATTGGTAATATGGACCATGATGGTGCTGAAGACCTTTATAAACTAATGATAAAAAGTAGCCAGTTCATGAAAGCTTCGAACATCTCTAATGTTCTTGGGCTCGGTCCATTCTTTAATAGCTCTAACTTTCTCCGGGTCAGCGGATACTCCTTCAGAAGAGACCACAAATCCTAGAAAAATGACCAGTGTGTAAGAAAAGTACATTTCATGGGATTGACATAGAATTGTTCTTTTCTTAACACATCACAGACTTGACGCAGATGGTCCACATGTTGCTCACGAGAGTTACTGTAAATAAGGATGTCATCAAAGTATACCACCAAGGATTCTCTAGTGAAGGGGCGGAGTACTTGAGTCATCACTCTCATGAAGGTACTCGGAGCATTAGTCAAACCAAAGGGAATGACCATCCACTCGTACAATCCGTCTTTCGTCTTGAAAGCGGTCTTCCATACGTCATCGAGATGGATGCGAATTTGATGGTAGCCACTCTTAAGATCAATCTTAGAAAAGATAGTGGCTCCAGACAGTAGATCGAGCATGTCATCCAACCGGGGAATGAGGAAACGATACTTCATCGTAATCTTGTTGATTGCACGGCCATCCACACATACGCCATGTTCCGTCTTTCTTTAGCGTCAGTAATGCGGGGACCGCACATGGGCTCATGCTTTCTATCACAAAATCCTTTTTAGCAGTTCATCAACTTGCCTCTTCAGTTCTGTGTGCTCATTGGGGTTCATCCTGTAGTGAGGCAAATTGGGAAGAGTTACTCCCGAGTCTAAATCAATTGCGTGTTGAATATCATGCATCGGGGGTAACAGGTCCAGGAGGTCTTTAAGGAAGATGCCAAAGAATTCTTCCAACACTAGAGCGACTTCTGGAGGGACCACGTTAGTAATATCCTTGGGAGTTTCTCTAGCAGTGAGGATAGAAATAGGGGCTCCATTGGCTAGCTTACGATCGATCTCTTTGGCTTCAATCAGGTTAACGCCTCTAGAAGACTTGTCAGGATCGGGCTTCTTGTCATTGCCTTTCGGTTGAACCGGAAGGATCTTGACCTTCTTCCCATCGTGCTCGAACAATAGAATGTTTGATCGTACGAAGATGCGAACGTTGTTATCAAATAACCAGGGTCTTTCAAGAATAATTTGACCCACATCCATCTTCAGAACATCACACCAAACATTGTCCTTGTAGATGGCAAATTGAAGAGGGACTAGACATCTCTCTTGGATATGAAGTGCGTGGAAAATTGAAGAGGGACTAAACATCTCTCTTGGACATGAAGTGCGGTGTTATTAATCCATGATACTTTGTATGGCTTAGGATAGGGTACGACCTTAAGACCAATCTTGGCTATCACAGCTGATGAGACCATATTAATGCAGCTTCCACTATCCACAATCACCTTGCAATTCTTATCGCCAATCTTTGTGAACGTATGGAAGATGGATGTACGTCTCCAATCATCAATAGCCTTGGGTTGGGAGATGACACATCTAACAACAGATACGGTGGGAACCTCAATTTTCTAAGGCAACCTAAGACAATATCATCTACATCATCCTTGAAATCATCGGTATCATTGTCAACGTGATGGACAAACTCGTCACTATCAAGTTGAGGTTCATATTCATATTGGCCATCGATGATAACAACCTTGTGACGGGTCGGACAATTTGCAGAAACATGCCCATACCCTTGACATTTGTAGCACTTGACATGCATGCCAATCTTAGAAAAATCTCTCTTCAGCTCTTTGCCTTTGGGGTCGACTCTAGGTTGGGAAGAACTAGGGTTAGATCGACTCGGAGGTTGACTAGAGGTATTGGCATGAGAATGAAATTACCCTAGAGGGGGTGAATAGGGTAATATGCTAATCTAATCTGATATTAATGCTAAGCAAAAACTTATGAACTAATTATCCTAGCAAGAATGATATTCAAGAAGATTATATACAAGGATATTAAACTAAGGGCGAAATAAACATGAGCAATGAAGACATAAACTAAAGTAAATAATAAGCACAAATGTAACGCCAAGGCAAACTCAAACACATAATATGATCACGGAGTTCGGTCCTTCCGACCTACGTCTCCGTTCCCCACTCTCAGGGAGAATCCATTATCATAACGGGTTTTCAACGTTCACCCAAAATGTTTACACCTCACAATCTCGGTTTTCTAGCTCACCGAAAACTTTCACAACTCACACTCTTGCAATCATACTCTATACCCTCTAAGTGTTAGCCTAGCCCGTGTCGCTTTCCTCAAGTGTTCGGAATTACCATCTCTCTCTAGGCTTTACCACCAGCCCCACTCCTCTTGGAATCGACCTCATCTCTCATCACATACTTCTCTCGGTGTACAAGTGTATTACAAAGTGTATCTCATAATGAAAGCTCAAAAAAAAAAAGATGTGTTCTCTATAATAGATGAGAACGCAATGTAAGCTCACTCAATTGCACTCACAACCCAAATTACATAATGTGTGAAAATAACTTATGCTCAAGTGGTTGTGTGTGAAAGATAACAAGTAATATAAACTCAATTGAAATCTAGCTTATAAAAATAATGCTCAAGTGGTTGTGTGTGAAAGATAACAAGTAATATAAACTCAATTGAAATCTAGCTTATAAAAATAATAAACAAAACTTATAAACTCAATTGAAATCTAGCTTATAAAAATAATAAACAAAACTTATAAATAGCTAGAGATTGAGTTTAAAAAATCTTCTCTGAAAAACAAGAGTGAAAGAGATGAGATTGAAGCCCAAACACGAAAAGAAGATCTCTTCTTCCTCTTGTGAAAATCACTTCACATAAACAAACTTGAAAGCCAAACTTAAACCAAACTTAAACACCCTTAAACTTATTTTTAAAACTCTCTTAGTGTTTGAAAATAGTTATGGCAAATGGGTACATATAGGGTAGAAGAAACCAGTCCAAGAAAACACTAAAAACCCATAAAACAATAAAATAAATAAAATCTGAAAAATAACCGTTACTGTGCAATGACTAGTTTGTAAGTCGACTTAGGACATGGTATAAGTCGACTTATGTCTTATGAGTCGACTTGTATGAGTTATTAGTCGACGCAGCAGACGAAAACAACAAACTGTACAACAGATCATAAGTCGACTTGTAAAATTCATAAGTCGACTTATCATATATAAGTCAACTTGCTTGGAGTATAAATCGACTCAGCAGATGAAAATTACATTTTTCAGAATAGTTTATAAGTCAACTTGCTACATTACATAAGTCGACTTATAAACATGCACATGCACTGTTCATGTTTGAAAACTGAGTTTTGAAGTGCCTTTAAAAATAGTAAATAAATTCCAAAAATATAAAACTTTAAGAAATGATTATAAACATGAAAATGTAGCAAAAAGAAATTTTCAATTTTCACCTCCCAAATGAGAAATCTCTTCATTTTACAAAATAGTCCAAAAACATGAAAACTTAACAACACATGTTTTTGAAAAACAAACTTGCATATTCATTTAGAATGGATTAATGGACTTAGAAAAAGATATAAAATAGTATAATTAAGTTTATAATCCATAAACACATAATTTTTGCAAATAAACATGATTTCATTGATTTTAAACTTGTTGATTAATGAAATCATCTTAAGCACATATATAAACATGATTTCATTGATTTTAAACTTGTTGATTAATGAAATCATCTTAAGCACATATAAACATGAAAATATATTTATTGATTTTAAACTTGTTGATTAATGAAATCATCTTAAGCACATATAAACATGAAAATATATTTATATAAGTGTATTGAGTTTTCATGTTTATGTGGCTAAACGCATTATTTACCAAAACCAAAAATAATAAATATGAAACATGTATATATGTAAACAAGTATATATGTTTCATATTTATATAGGCTTGAAAACTATAAAACCAAAAACGTGTATGTGTGTATATGATTGAGCTTAAAGTATCAACACACAAAATATAAGTCTAAAACATTATACCCAAGCTATGAGATCTTCAATAAACTTGTCTTGGTAAACATGGATGAAGCTTGAACTTGAATCTTTGACTTAACTTGCGAATTACTTCATTCTGATATTCCTTCCATCCTCTAATGGATATGATTATGTAGGCACAATCCAACCAACCTCCAACTGAGATATTTGTGTAGATTACCTAACAAAATAAATGCAAGCACTCGACGCTCAATAGTAGGAATTATTTGTAATCATCAAAACAAGATTAGGGAGTGTGCTCATAAACATGAGACCTAACAGGGAAGACTAGGAGGAATGAGTTCTAAATTTCTGACTCCTATGCGGTTGGTGGGATTTGGCCTCATCTAAATCCTGAACTAAGGCGTAAGCTCTCTCAAGGGTGTTTATTCCTCTAGCAAAAAAGTTCAGTTTGATTTTGTATGTAGGGAAAATTGCAATGAAAAGAACAAAGAAAATTGATTTGTATTCCTTTGATTCCGGTTACAATTTGATTACAAAAGAGAAGAGAACGAATTTGGTTCTCCCCTTTGTTTAAAACTGGGTTCTTCACGGTGGCGATAGAGTGCCTCCCTCGAATGCTTGCGTCGAGTTTGCTCTCCGTTGACGATCCGCACGTCTTGATTCACTAGAACGATGTCTTCTCCTCACGATTTGACGTTGTGGAGAACTTGCGTGACAAGTTTTAGAACTCTGAACGAGTTGATAACTCTGAACGAGTTTTAACTCTTGAAAAAGAGTTGATTTAAACCAAAAATCAGTTAATAGCCAAGGATGAGGAAGCTCCTGTTGCCGAACGTTGAAGATGATCTTCCTTGAAGGATGATGCCGATCTCCTCCGAAGTTCGCCCAATGATCTCCCATGTTGCTATCAATTCTCAGCTCCAAAAAGCCAGTCTTCAATGGTCGATTCAAGCCAAATAAAAATCTAACATTTAACTCAGTTGAGTTTACTCGCTTTTATAGGGGATTAAGGGGGTGTAACTGCCCTCCAAATCCGCTCCTAAGTGGGCGTTATTTCCTCAGATCGTGGGGGAAAAACGGTTCTAAAACCGTTCGACTCATATTTGAATGAGTCAAACGCCCATGTTGGCGTTCAGGATCCTAACCTCGCGTCTTAGGATTGAGACGTGAGGTTGGGTGTTGACTGAATATCCAGAACGCGAGGGTCGCTTACGTTTCGCTTGTTGTAACGTGGGTCCAACTCCAGCATTTTGATGTTGTAACGCGGGTTTGACCCTGGCGTTTTGATGTTGCAACGCGGGTTCGACCCTGGCATTTTGATGTTGCAACGCGGGTTCGACCCTGGCGTTTTGATGTTGTAACGTGGGTTCGACCCTCGCGTTTTGATGTTGTAACGCGGGTTCGACCCCGATGTTTTGATGTTGTAACGTGGGTTCGACCCTCGCGTTTTGATGTTGTAACGTGGGTTCGACCCCAGCATTTTGATGTTGGCATACGGGGAGGACCTCCGCGTCTTGTCTTGAAGAGATTATCACAAAGTAATCTCTTTTGTTATAGCGTTGCAAAGATCATTGTCTTGTAATTTTCGTCTTGGCTCCTTGAGAATATGAGAGTCATCAGATTGTAACTCCCGATGTTGATTGTGAATGCTGTTGAACTAGAGCTCTCATCGGTTGTCGTGAAGGTCGTCAGATTGTAACCTTCTGCGATCTACGTGAAAGTCTTCAAATTGTAGCCTTCTGGAAGTCGTCAAATTGTAACTTCCATCATCAGTGTTTGATGGAGGATAAGCTATCTATTGTGATTTTTAGACAGCCTACAGAACCCCCTCCAAAGTTTTTGAAAGTTCGCGATTGACTAGGATGAATTTTCGGAATACTTTGGATCTCACTCTAATCCTGGACCTGTTGATTTCTTGTCGTAAAAGAGTCGTTCTCTGCACTCGCTTCGAAGGCATCTTGGTTGAAGGGATTTGCCATGTAGGACCTTTGTGAAGGTATGCGTCATAATTCTGCTTCTGGAATGCAGGGGTGGACCCCTGCGTTTTGAATTTGAGACGCGAGGCTGACTTCGGCGTTTTGGATTTGAAACTCGGGTGTGACCTCGGCGTCATGATTTTTGTAACGCGGGTCTGACCTTGGCATTTTTAAAGTTAGAACCCGGGTGTGACCTCGGCGTCATGATTTTTGCAACGCGGGTCTGACCTCGGCGTTTTGACTTGAGACATGGAAGTGGCTTTTGTGCATTTTTGACTAAGTTTTTGAAACTTATCTTTAGCTTATCTGTTTCAAGTCTCGTCTCACGTCCATTA